GGGGAGTGGGGGGATGTTAAGCAACATCAATGTGTAGGAGGTGAGTAGGAAAGAAGAGCCCAAGGGGCTGGAGGAGGCAGGAGTCATGTAATTGTAAGACAGCACTACAGCACAACTCGACACTGGCCCTCCTATACTAAGTATTTGGGTTTCCAAATTTAACTGTGCTCCAAATAAACTATTAATCTAGAGTAATACAGTAACCAACCATAGCTGAGTTAATTACACTGTCAGGTATTTTGAAATAAAATGTTCAAAAACTTGTGACAGACATATGCTGATATATATGAAAAGTGTCAGGTGAACAGAGAAAACATGTGGTAAGTAAAGAGCAGCCATGAATTACACTTGATAAGTAAAGTCTGAGAATATGTTCTATGTAACTGGATAAGGTACGCTCATCAATCAAATGTGGATTTAGGAGCATTTGGTTTTCAGCTACAGGAATGATTATAAACGGGCAGTTCTGATTCATAAACAGTAAACTATATATATAAATGTGTTTTCTTTTAAAAATATATCTTATTTGCCACCTTTGTTACAGTTTCGAGTTTGTTCTATTTTAATTTTTATAAGATGAACCATTAATACTAATGCAATAGGCTTCTATAAAAACTAGTTAAAATATTAAACTGTATTCAATATAAACACAATTAATACTACTCCAGAGGACTGGGTAGTACAGTGATTAATTCACAGCTCTTTACCTCTGGTAGACTTATTAGTGAACCTGACTACCTGCCAAGAGATGTGAATTTGTTCAAGCTTTAGTGACTCCTGAACATTTAATCAAGCACAACACCTGTGTACAGTTTAGCCCAATTAATCATAATTTCCAGTGATCTATATGATTTTTTAGATACGAGAGGCCCAACACTAAGAACCAAGTGCTGCACAATTCTTAGTCAGAAAAAGTTTACTTGCATGCAGAGAAAATAGGTGAAGTAATATTTGTAAGGAATAGGAAAGGTAGTTTACTGTCTTTCTTTTACAGGAATGAAATCAGTGCATAGTAAAAAGTGCCCTTCAGTGACAACATTCATTTACTAGTTGTTATAAAATTTGGTGGGAAAATTATTGTGGGAATAATACTTTGCATATAATGAAATAACTCTTGGCCTTGGAATTCCTCTCTGATTAGAAAAGTTTTTGTTTGCATTGTCTTCAGTTCACTGCTACAGTAGTTCTTTTTACCCCCTACTATTGGCCTTTGGAGTCTTTCTGCACAAACTGTGTTCTTGACAGATAAATTAATTGTACAATCTGAAAATGTCATCAGGCAAGAATGTAACCAAGGATTCCTCCAACTATGTATGCAGAAGAAAGGAAACATGCTAGCTGATGTTTAATATGGCTATAATTATGAAGCAGGATATAAAAAAAAAAAAAAAAAAAAAAAAAAAAAAAAAAAAAAAAAAAAAAAAAAAAAAAATCTGAAAACCCTTAAGATTGTGGACCAAATACTAACTGATTGTTAAGGTGCCACTACTGAGGCATCACAGCACCATGTTAGTCCCTTTGACTCACTTTGAATGATCTTGAACAGAAATCTGGTGCCCAGGCTTCCTCTACAATAAATGGAAAGAACTTTCTGCCTCTTAAGGGTGACCTAGATCACCTAGTCACTCCACAGAGGGGTGCCTACCGCTAGGGCTGTGCGAAACGCCACCATTTTCTTTCAACTTCCTTTTCGACAGGACAGTGTTTCATTTAGAGTTTCATTTCATTTCAAAAGCACGGTTCCATTTCATTTACTCAAAGATGTTTCTCTGTTTTGCTACTGTTTCGATGTTTTGGCCGTAGGTTATAATAAGGAAGCACGAAACTGCCTATAACTGTCATTTTTTGGTAGATTTGGATGAAAACAGCAGGGATGGTGTACCCTACTGAGGCCATGACACCTGCCACATTTCAAGGAGATAGGTGCAGGGGTTTCTGGGAAACCACACCTCAAGTTGCTGACAAGCACAACTTGTGACGTGTGACTGTGTGCGTGTGTTAAGGCATGCCCTCACTGGCGCTGGGGCCTCTACACAATGCAGTAGTGTGCCCCAATAACACTTCCTCCTCCCCTACAGCCTCAGCTCAGTCCATCACTTTAAATGATAACAGGTAATAAATTAGTAAGCAACACCAACAGCATCTCAGGCGGCCAATCACAGCCAATATCAGAGCAGTCCTTCCCCCACCTTCCCCCTCCCTCTACTTACTTTCAAAACATTTTGACTGCCATTGTTTCATTTCAAGGCTGTTTCGAAGCCCTTTGTTTCATTTAGATTTCGCTGTTTCAAGTTCAAAACTAGTCGAAACAGCCTTGAAATGAAACAGCCGGTGAAATTTCACACAGCCCTACCTACAGATAGTCAACAGGAACTCTTGACCAGGGTGGTTTCTAAAATTTGTCTGGATCACAACAGGATTTAAATACTTCACTCCTGCCTAGGTGACTGGTCTAAATTGCTTCTGAGCTTATGTAGCTGTCCAGGACCTAGGGAACTTGGGGGCCTAGTCGAGGTACCCAAAGAACTTTTAAAGCTAAAGTGAAGGCATCCGATGAATTTGGGTACCTCCACAGTTTTCTGGATGCTGACTGAAGTCAATTTGTCAATCTTTTATTTTGTAATTCTTTCCTTTTTGTAGCCTCACTGGATTGTTTGTTATAATTTTACAATTTATCCAACTGCACTTCAGGTTCAAATATCTGAGTAACTCAATAATTTATGTTTTTGTTATAGAAGGCTGGAAACAAATTGCATATTCATTTTATCTTGGTTATTTTGGTTTTGTATCTTTGCTATTATGATTTTTTATGTAAAAAATATTACATAAAATATGTAATTTTATTTATGGCTTTTCAATTTGTACCATGGATCTAAATAGCTGACCAACTCTACCATTATGTTTTTTGCAAGGGACTTAAACTTGTGTTTACAGATTCACAGCAAAGTTCAACTCAGTACATTATATTCTATTTTGATGGCAGTCTTAATTAAATCTTTTGGTTTTATCATCACTGAATTCAAAAGTAAGTTATGAATTAAGGTTTGTCACAGGGCACCTCGGTGCTCTGCTCCTAGAGAGGGGAAACTGCTGGGGAAAAGAGCCCTAGCAGGGAATAAGAGCCCACCTGCGGGTTGCCAGGGTAACTGGAAGCAGCGAATGACCCACACCTGACAGCGGTTAGCTGGCTGTAAGGGGCAAGGCCTGGCCCTTATGAAGCCCAGGGCTGAGGCCAGGCTGGCAGTTTCCTGCCAGCAGCCAGAGAGACAGGAGCTCCCTCAGCCATGATACGAGAAGCAGTGAGAACCGTAGGTACTGTCTAAGCCAGATAACAGAAGGCAGCTCTAAGATGTCAGAGCAATGTGGTTATAGCCAGGTGGCTTATAGTTATGTTGTAGCCTAGGGGCTTGTGTTTTGTTTTGTGTATTACACCGGTGGCTAGGGTGAGGCTATCAGGGGTTGGAGGAGGCCTCATCGGGGACTCACAACAGAGTGCGAGGACGCAGCATACTCAGGAAGGACCCACAGTGGTGTGGGGGCCCCAGCGCCAGTGAGGGCGCAGCGTTCTCATCGGGGACTCACAACGGAGTGTGACAACCCCGGCGCCAGTGAGGGTGCAGTATCGTCAAAGGGGCCTCACAGCGGAGTGTGAGGACCCCAGTGCCAGTGAGGGCGTAGCGTACTTAGGGGGAACCCACAGCGGTGTGGGGACCCCAGTGCCAGTAAGGGCGCAGCTTACGGGGTGCTTAGACCCCAGCCCCAAAGAGGTGGCCTTTTGAGAAGCCCCAGTGCGGGTGTGGCAAGCCCCAGAGAAGGGGTACTACTGAGAAGCCCCAGGGCGGACGTGGCGAGCCCCTGTGGAAGGCAGAGTACTGTGGTAAACCCCGGAAAGGGCAGAGTACTGCGGTAAACCCCGGCGAGAGGGGGTAGTGATGCGGTGAGCCCTGGAGAAAGGGGGTAGCAGTGCGGTGGGCCCGAGAGACAGGTGGCTCAACCAGGAAGTCCCAGAGTGGGCACAGAAGGCCCCAGAGAGAGGGGCAACATTATAGGGAAGGCCCCAGAGAGAGGGGCAACATTACAGGGAAGGCCCCAAGTGGACTCAGAGGGCCCAGAAGGGGGCAGCACTTGAGAAGGCCCAGAGAGAGGGCAGCAGTGCAAGAGAAGGCCCAAGAGAGAGGGTCACTGTACAGAGAAGGCCCCGAGTGGGCACAGAGAGCCCCAGGAGGGGGCAGCATAACAGAGAAGGCCCGGGAGTCGGGCGTGAGTACAGAGAGAGAGAGACAGACCGACGTCGATTCCAACTGCGAGGCTTGGGGCGTGGTATCAGGGGTGGTTGGAGCCACGCATAGCCCATAAGGCTAGGGTGCCCCAAAGCACCCATTTGCAGGAGAAGACCCACGAGGAGTCCGGAAAAACCACGGGGTCTGAGTCAACATAGAGACGTGTCCGAGAGGGCGTAAGGCAGCCTCCCAACCTTATCTAACAGGAAAGACGTGGCGTGCGAGAAACAGAGGGTGCCCTTGGGCCAACTAGGCACGGAGAGGGGGCCTCAAGGAGATCACGGCCCTCCCGGAGGACCCTGCCGTGACAAGGTTTTACCAAATTACCAGTCATCAAAAAGTGAAATAAAATATTGAATTCTTTGGTTATGAGATGCAGTGATAAACTCTCATTGGTGTGATACACTAGTGTTTTACAGTGATACAACTGTATGTGTTAACCACTGGTATAACATACCTCTCTTCCCCTCAACAGAGATTGATTAGTCAGGTGTGTCATAGCAATCACAATTTTTCTCCACAGTACAAGCAAGATTATATCTTCTCCATTTCTATTCAAGCCCTGTAAATCTACTCGGTGAGTACAGTAATATATAGTGCCTAAACTATTGTGTTTTTAAGATAGTAGTGAAGTTTGGTCCATTTCCTTAAGAACTGGTGGTAACCTAAAACACGCTATTAATAACATAATTTACTGATATATGATATAGTAATACTTACTTTGATATGGCTTTTCAGAGTTTCATGAAGGAGAAAACCTACTTGCACAGCATCTCCTTTCATATCAGTAATAACACAAACTTGTTGTGATAGGTTATCTGTGATCAAGAGAAAAAAAGAACTGAATATTTCATATAAAATGCATCAAAGAAAATTACTGATCTGGTAAACTTTATGTTAAAATTCTTCATTCCTATCTCCAATAGAGCCTCTCCACCAGCTGAAAATCTACTTTTAAGAGGATTCATTCTAAGGCAACTCAGTGCAATTGATAAATCAGAAAATCAAAAGAAAAATTCTGCTCTATTTCTTACATTCTGACAGAAGTAAAAAGCTCACATGAAGCCTATTCTAAAGACTACCGAAATAAATTAAAAGATTCCTAATTGACTTCCATGTGCACTGGATCAGATCCACAATACTTACATATTTATTAAATACCAAGGGAAGAATTTCCTGGAATACTGATTTCACATGGACTTAACTGCACACTAAATGCGTTTTTAAAAATTATGGAAAATGTATTCAACTGTATCAATTTAAAAAAAACTCCAAAACAAGTGACATTTGGGCAGAACTAAGAATATAGCCAGTTAAATTAAAGTCTTTTTCCTATAACAAGTTCCATGTGTTGCCTTTGCATATGTGAAGCTGTTTTGAAACTAATGGGGCTTTAGCCACAGGTTCTACCCCAACATAGAATAAGTTGCAAAATTAGAGTCAACGGTCATAATCCAGCTGATACTGGGGCACAACTGGAAATGTAGAACACATTATTAAATACACTGGTCTAAGTACAATTAATGCCCAGTCCTTTCCTTGAAAAGAGTAGTTAAAAAATAAATTTTGTCTCTTGGGACTGACTAAGATTCCAAAAGTTTCTTCTTTTTATTTTTTATTTTTAAATTCTGGCCTGACGGTCATCTTGTTTTTAATGCAAGCTTTTATCCTTAGATGTTCAATTAATATGGACCTTGAAATCCTAGAATGCAAGGTTTGTGTTGTCTTATGGATGCCCATTCTGCAAGCAGCTAAAAGATTTATAAATGTGCAGTATAATTATATTGAAAACAGACCTCTAACACACTTCAAGGACAAAAATATCCAGGATAACAGAAATAAATCAGTTGGGATGGATTTAAAAGAGAATATAAAGATATGCTGTAAATACTCATAAAAGCAAGACTGAATATCAAACTAGATAATGACTACATGTGAAAAGGTGTTTTAATATTTAAAAACATAATACATTCATTCAGATGTTTTTAACATTGTCCAAATAAACTTCCACCTCACTCTCTGCCATATGTTCATGCATACTTTTGTAAAGAGTAACAAACACAGAATAAAAAGGAATTTAAGCTGCTCATTACTATAGTTTATGGTAAACAACATGATAATTTTCAAGCAATGTTTTGAGAGATGTAAAGTTAAATTAATCGCTGAACAGCCGAAAATAAAAGGTGGAAGGCAGAATTTCTCATATTTACCATGTCAATAATACACATGGTGTCTTCAGATTAGACTAGTTAGTGAGACCAGTTAGTCTCACTTTTATCCTTGGGAAAATTCTGGAAAAAATCATAAAGGATCATATTTGTGGGAGCCCAGCAGGGGAAATAATGCTGAAAGGAAATCAGCATGGATTCACTGCAGGTAGATCCTGCCTGACTAACCTTGTTTCTTTTTATGACCAGATCACAAGATGTTTAGATGCAGGAGTCGAGGTAGATGTCATTTACCTAGACTTTAAGAAGGCCTTCAATATGGTACCTCATTCTGTTCTCATAAATAAACTGACAGGCTGTGATGTAAATGATTCCATGGTCAGGTGGGTGGCAAATTGGCTTAGAGATCACACCCAGTGAGTAGTGATGGATGGGTTGATATCGACTTGGAAAGATGTGGGCAGTGGAGTCCCACAAGGCTTGGTCTTTGGACCAGTGCTATTCAATGTCTTCATCAGTGACTTAGACAAGGGTGTGAAGAGCACCCTGTCCAAGTTTGCAGATGATACCAAATTATGGGGCAAAGTTAACACACCAAAGGGCAGGGAACAGATCCAAGCGGATCTGGACAGGTTGGAAAAATGGGCAGAACAAAATAGGATGCATTTCAACATCGACAGAGCACTTAAGATAAAGTACCCCCACCACCATTTTGAAGCGTGGGGATGCTAATATACAAGATGCAGGAGGCTGCTGAAGAGTGATAATTGCCACACTCCAGCAGACTTGATTAATTGAGTCCAGTGCATTGAAGCAGCCTCCCTGCTCATGTATAGGCACCCTATAAGGCCACAGATTCACTGCGTAAAATGCAAAGCTAAACATGCATGACAATTGGCTTCCACATAATGATTTATTTCTGCAAATTTATGAGCTAAAGAGTAGGCCTTGCATCTACACGAGAATCCATCTTGGATTTACTTATCAGAGAGGAACTGATGGGGAAAGGAAGGGAAGCTTGAAACTAGTGACCAACAACCACTCAAATTCAGCATGCAACTAAACAAGGAGTATGAATATAATAGAGCAGTCCAAGACTATAAGAATTTAAGAAGTCAGTTTTTGAGATGTTAGGAACTTAGTGAGCAAAGCAGGATCAAAACCATTATGAAGCATCATGTGGAATCCTAAAAGCCACCACAAACTTAGAAACAGCATATAATGCTTTTTTACACACAAAAACAACAAAAGTTGTGTGTAATGTAACCCCGGAAGTGACTACTCGAAGGCTGCAGTTTACAAAGCCAGTACCACACCTTCCTCCTGGTATTCTAAACAGAAAGAGAAGAATTAGGAAGTGAGTTAAGATTTGTAGGTTAAATTTATGAAAGAAAACAGAATGCCTTTAATGACATTCAGAGCACTTAGACGAAAAAGGAACGCATATTATAAAATAGCAGAAGGAAAGTATTTCACAGAAAAAATCCCTGAGGGCTAGGGACAGACATTCAAAAAGCTTGAGCCTGAATTGATTCAATCTTTGCAGGTTAGTCTAACCTGCCTAGGCTGAATCAGTTTGTAACCATACAGACATCCCCTCTGGAATGCAAAAATGCAGGGACATATCTGCAGTGGCTAAGGCTAGAAGCTGAGGTGCGCTAGAGCAGCCTTCCCTTCCCTTGTAGAGTGCTGAGCTGAGGGGGGCACGGCCAGGCCCTGGCAGGAAGCTCTGATTAGGAAGTGGATTTAACCCCCACCCTGCCTGCACCGTCCCAGGCTTTTCCCTGCTCACTGCTCAAGGGGCAGGAGTATTGCCAGACCCTGCATCTGTTGATAATGAGCTTTTCAATCTCCATCTCCCTGCCTGCTCAGACTGTCTGCAAACCAGGTCATATCTAACACCTTTCTCTTCCCCTCTTGAAGACTGACAGATTGCAACCAGCAGGTTGTTTGTCAGAACTAAATTTCAGTCCATTAACCCCTTCAAAAGACATCTCTCATCAGTTTCAAGCTTTTCTCATCTGCAGACTGCATTTGCATGTGCAAGCCACTAGCTGTCTGCCTTTTTTCCAGTGAAATTGGAGATCCACACAGACACCTCTCAGCATTAGCTAGCATGGGGGGGAGGGCGGGGGGCATGGCCAGATACTCAGTCCCTGTCGTGGGAGAGGAGTGGGAATCCCTGCTTGAGCAGCCAGCGGGGAGTGGGGGCGGTGCGGAACGAAGCCTGGCAGGAGCTGCAGCAGTCCCTCATCCACCTAGAGCTGTGATAGTGCTCTGGCTAGGACAGATAGTGGAAGGGCCAACTTTGCTCTACTCTAGCAGACAGCCCTGCCCAGCCCAGAGAGCATGCCGGGATTCTGGGGGAGTCTAGTTTATCTTAAACCAGCAAGGGGTCTGAAACAGACATTGTATAAACTGGTTTGGCTTAAATTAGTTAAGTCTGATACTACGTTCAACCAAGTTTATCTCAAACTGGTTTCAGCCATTTTCAAATTGGTTTATATGCACTGAACATCTGTTCTGTTACAAGTTTAAATCAGTTTCTGATCACTTCAACCAGTTTATGTGTAACGTCTGTCCCTAGTCTAAGAGGAGAATACTATAATTAATGATAATACAAATATGGATGAGATAATGAAATCTTTTTCAACCAAATGTTCAACAAAAAAAAACCAGAAAAGAAATGTGATTAAGTTGAGAACTGCTTTTAGCTGATGAGTCTACACACACACACACACACACACACACACACACACACACACAGATTGAGAGAGGGACAGAGACAGAGAGAGAGAGAAATCCCTGAAAGCAGGTGTATCAAAGAGCACTAGTCTTGCAACTATAGGATAATATGCCATAGTGGTACATGCTTCCCACACCCTGCCCCACCCACTCGTCCCCAGCCCTGGGGATCAGACCATAGTCCCTTATCTAAATCAGTTCACCATCAAATCAGCTTCTGCACTACACCTACTTTCTTTGGGAAAACAAAATTAAAGATGTGTAGGTTGTAGCCATGTTAATCTAAGGACATAGGCAGACAAGGTTCTTTGGATGAATCTGATATCTTTTATTAGACCAACTTAAATAGTTGGAAAAAAATTTCTTAGACATCTTTTGTGTTTAAAAACCCTTCGTCAGGCTGAGGAGCCATCTGCAGTTGGGGTGTGCTCTTCCAGGATGCAATGAATAGTAAAGAGGCCAGAGGCTGGTATGCATGCAAGAAAGGCAGTCAGTGAAGATGTAAACTGAGGAGTCAGTGGGTCAGAGACAGGCTGGGGATTGGGGGGGGGAGGGAAGGGAAGGGAAGGGGGATGAATGTAGCAGGTAAATAGTGGAGAAGTGCCTGAGAAGTCAGGTGTCAGGCAGGTTATAATGTGTCATAAATCCAATGTCTATAGAGTCCAAGAGTTTTTGTATCTAGGAGGCTGATGAAGTGAAGTACACAGGCTCATCTCTGAAAAGTGTTTTGTAAATTCCCTTTGAGGATTAGAACCGAGAGATTGGAGAGAGAGAGTGGTTTTCTTGTGAGAAATGTGTCCCCACTATAATTAGGTATTCTTGTCTTTAATAGATTTCCGGTGTGCGTTCATTCTGGTGCGCAGTTCTTGTTTGGTCTCTCCTACATATTTTCCATCAGGGCATTT